TAACTCTTACTCTAACAGCTATTAAAAGAAAAGGAAAAGAAAAGAGAAAAATAACTTTGAAACTCATAAGTACAAGTATATTTGTATTGCTAAATCTATCTTTCTTATAACATAATAATCAAAGTAATCAAAGTAATCAAAGAAGAAGAAGAAGAAGAAGAAGAAGAAGAAGAAGAAGAAGAAGAAGAAGAAGAAGAAGAAGAAGAAGAAGAAGAAGAAGAAGAAGAAGAAGGAGAAGAAGAAGAAGAAGAGAGGATTGAGGTGTGCCTTTATCACACCTGATTCCTTGCCATGGTTTTATGGAGAAGAAGAAGAAGAAGAAGAAGAAGAAGAAGAAATAAAATATGGCAAAAAATGTTAGAAAAAAATACTACAGGGAAACTAAATAGAAATTGAAAATAAAATGACAGATTTCCAAGGAACACAAAATAATTCACAGTCATTGGTTAACGAATGTGCTAGATATTAAAAGCTAAACAGCACCAGGATAAAGTATTGTGGCAAATCAGATGAAAATGAATCAAACGTCTGGAACAAAATCTATTAGAAATCAGAGGTTGTAGAGCATTATGGGATAGTACGGTAGTTAAATGGGGAAGACGAGGAGCAAATGGAGTATGGCAGAAATTGATAAAGAGGGAAAGGGGGGTTATGGGTGAAGGGCGAATAGATCAAATGGAGGGTATGAGGAACACTGCAAAAGAGCCATTAATGAAATGGGTAATAAGGGTAGAAATGGGTATAAGAAAAAGCACCAGGGGAAGGAGGTGAAGTATCAGGAAAAACGTCAGGGGGGAAGGATCCGAGGAAGGACTGTTGTGACAGAAGGGAGTCGCATGACCGTAAAGGAGAGAGCAGCAGGGTTAATGGGGATAGAAGAGGGGATAGCGCAGACGGAGAATGGGAGGATGGGGTATGTTGGGAGAGAGTGGGAGGAAGAGGAGTTGGGGAACATAAGGAGGACAAGGATGGATGTGAGCAGTAGAGAAAACAGGAGTAAAGAGATTAGAGGGTGGACAAAAAGGAGTTTAGGTTGAGAGGTCCAAGAAACAAAGATTTTTTTTATGAAGAGCAGAAGAGGAGACAGATGTCAGAAGAGCAGAGGAAATGATAGGTTTAGGAGAGAGTGAGGTAGGGTGTTTAGATTGCCTGGTGCGACAAGTAAAGTGATAAGATGGATGGGTAGGGACTGAGGAAGCGGTAAAGACTAGAGTATCTGGATCTCAAGTGGCAAGAAAAAATTTGACCAGGAGATAGAGAGGGTAAAAGTAGGATGGTGAGGGATAGGGAGACGAGATATTGGGAAGAGGAATCAAGTCTGAAAATTCCAATTTCAATTTCCATGACTTTCCATGATTCTCCAGGATCCGTACAAGCCCTGCTTAATTCCCCTAATAAGGATAAAAAATCTTCAGTACTGGCCATGGTGAGCCTGAAATATGTGGGGAAGAGAAAAAGACGACCTCTTAGAGTCCCCATGAAGGTAAGGGCCAGACAATAAACCAAGGGAATACTGTGCCCATGGTTCCCCGAGGCCATTCAGGTCTGACACAAAGCCAGCCTTTCATCCTTTCAACATGGCTCTTACACCCTAGGAAGTCGTCAGAAAACGAGGATGAAGAAGAAAAGGAAAAGGAAATGGGGAAAAGAAAAGACCATGAAAAATGAGTCCAGCCAAGGCACAGAGAATTCCCAAACATTGGGCCTCAGCCCCGTCTCCAATGCCTTCCACGATAACAATGAGAAAGAGACTGGAAGTTCACAGTTGAATAAAACTCTAAAAGAAAAAAGAAAAAAAGTCACACAATACACTTCAATGAAACACAAGAAACACCTTCATTGGAAAATAAATTAATTAAAATAAAAAAAAAAAAAAAAAAAAAAAAAAACTTTTCTAGAAATGTCAACTCAAACTCACTCAATGCTTTGTATCAGTAGTAGAAGAGAGATCTCTAAGATTGCCACTACAGCACTCAGATAAGTCATCATCATTTCTTAAAATTCTCGGCTCTACTTCCTTATCTCTAAAATGTTATCCGAGTCTTCTTGCTATCTTACTAAAAGTTTTTTTTTTTTTTCTCACTCATTTAGTTTTCACATTCACTAAGGTTGGAGAAATGAAGCTTTTCATCGTATCCTACGCCATGGTAAGATTATAAAAGAAATATAAATGCATCTATAAGTAAGTCCTTTCATTACGTAGCAAAGTGAAATTATATTAAAACAAAACCTTTGTTCATAGAAATACAAGAAAATAACTTATTTGTACTAATATATCTTTTAATGCAGAAGTATCGTACAGCACTTATAATCATGATGAACATTCTTATACAATATAGCATTAACATTTGTGATACACTGATTAATATGCAAAATAAAGATCTGATTATACAAGCTACCTGAACTAATATGTAACTACATATCTAAGGCTTATTAAAATGAGTACAAAAAGAATTATTTACAAGCTGCATTATACATAATATTGTTAACTGTAGAGGGG